TATAAGAAGATATGATACGAAACCTTAGAGAGTTTTATACGAAACTTTGTTCAATTTCAACTTCCACAAAAAGTATGGCACGAAACCTCTTCTTTTTCAAAACCTCATAAAAGGATCACACTGAACTTTTTCCAGTGCTAAACCTACAAAAAGGTTTCGCGGGTCCATATCGTACCTTTAGAGATACAGTAAAGTACCACCGAACCATAAAGGTTTCGTATGGTACCTTTATTTTTTTCAGTGAAGAGGATGAAGAATTAGATGATGTAATGTATGATGATGATTTATTGGAAGATGACGCGAGTCCAACATCTAGCTTTGAAAATTTACAATCTACATCTTACTCAGGTATATGTCAGAAACTGGCGTTTTAAAGAGTTCTTTTTTTTTATTAAAAAGTGTATAAAATACACATTATCTAGAGTCATATATTTGTATCTGCTGTTAAATAATCACCTTGCGTGAAACTGCATATAAATGCCGAAATGATTTCCCCAGAATGCAAATCGGTCATAGAACACTTTGAGTTCTCTATCAATACTTATTTCATTATTTAAGCTGTTGACATCTAATTATATTACTCATATATTATGTTTATTCTGTAAAATTTTAAAAATACAGCATGCTCTCAAATAAACGGTTTTATTCTAATTAATTATGTAACAAATGATAGCAGAGGATAGAGTTTTTTCTATGAAAAACTTATTAATTTTCAAGGTGTTATTTTTTCGAAATTAAACGAAAACAAATAGTATTGAATACTAAAACTGTTGATGTTTGAAAATAAAAATTCGTTGAGTCGTAGAATAATAAAAGAAACGGACTTCGACCCAGGAACTTTCACAAAAGCTTGATTCCAGCAAGAAATAGTGAAAATAGTTGATTAATTTTAATCGAATTGACAGAAGCTGTTATTGTTTTAATATTCTAATTTTCGTTTTTTTATTTCATTTCAGAAGTCAGATTGAAAAAATCAGTATCCAACGCGAATGCTCACATATACTTTCCTATCAATGTTCACGAAGAGAAGCTATTTTTACATAAAGCAACTGCGACTTGGTACTCACAAGATAAACAACAACGAATATCTTGTGAACGTCTTGAACGTGTGAAAATAAAAGATGCTTTTTCATAGGTATTTTGTACTGTATCTATATAATCATTTTTTTAGCTCATAGTTATTAGATATTGGTATGTGAGAAGATTAAGTGGATGTTGATATTTTTTGAGTTAACGTTTCATTCAAACTATGAACTACACATTTTGTTTTCTTTAGAGAAAAATAAATGATGAACTTACATTTCACATTTAGAGTGCATAAGACAAATTGTAAAATAATTTTTATGTTACTATTTTGTCAACTAGTTTATTTTAAAATATTCCTTTCAACTATTCAAGTTAGATTCATTAATCAGTTATATACAAGACTAAATTCTTTCTTAACCAAAGCTAACTCAAATTTTCTTCTTCTATGAGTATTATTATGAATAGAACATAATTGCTGAAACATTCTTACTGTTCAAAGGTATGACCAATAAACTATAATATTAATTATAATTAGTCGAAAAAGTTTTCGAAAATGGCTATCTGATAACGAAAGTGTACTTATCTCTGATTTAGCAATTATTTTGCATTCACAAGAGTCAGTAAAAAGCCACTTCTTTGTAGTTCTCGTCATATGAAGTCAGCTACTTATTATGAACTTCTCACAAAATGTTGAATACTGATACTTAGGTTTCATAAGGTAGGAAATGTCTAAACAGATAATCAAGGGCAAAAAAAAAGCATACTTCTATTATGACCGACGCTATTTCCATAGTGTCAGATTTTACTACAAAAAGTGTACATTTTTTCAATCTGAGTATCTAGATTGTGATGTATGTGCAATTACAAGAGTAAATTCTAAATATATTATGGAATTCGTCGTTAACAATGTAAGAGACATTTCTAGTGTTTCAGACTATTTGAAGTTATCAGCAATTGTATAATAGCAATGAAGCTCAAATAAATCGTAGACATTGAAAGTATTTCTTTCTCTCTTGGATACTGGAAATAATGAACACATGTTGCTAATGGAATATCAGTGAAGTACAGTGAAGTACAAATGAAGTACGCACTCTTGAATTCTCGCTTTTTCTCCTTGATGAACAAGTAGGAGTACTCTGTCTAGTAAAAGCTGTTAGCGCAATCCCTTGCGGGATTAAAAGTGTGAAACACGATGTAGTTGTTGTTACTAGTCACACGAATATGGTTTTCTTTGATGTACTGTGGGACCCATTTATTCATTATTTCTTACTTAATTCTCTAGAACTATAACAAGGATGCAGTTGATATATTCTTATGAGATTCTAGTGATATATAATCGTAAATCATGTATCAAAAGGTCTGTCACGATTTGTGATGGTCTCTGGAGTTCCTCTGTCACGGTCTGTGATGGGTATGGATTTTCTCTGTCACGGTCTGTGGCGGGGAGGGGATGCAAATTTCTACCCTATATACTTCAACACTCCTTTCAGATCGTGTTTCACAAAATAAGCGGGTACGTGCTGTTTTTTTTAATAAAAAAGAAAACTAAAGTTTATTTTTAAATAAAAGAAATTTACGTCGTAGCTTCGCGTCTAATTAGAAACAAACACTATCTAAGTTTAGTTTTGTCACTGACATATATTTTCTTTTTCTTTGTATTATTTTTATTAGCAAGCACTTTTCATCTTTTTTTCTGTTTGATAGTATAAACCATTTGTGAACGTGCTAATGACAAAACCACATACGTTCCTAATTTTTTACATTTATTTCCTATGACGAACATACCATTAAAACAATCAATCAAGATGTTTCTAAATTTTATTGTATTTATCATGAGTCATTATTCAACACTTTAGCTCTTGTATTTGAAAATGATACGAAATAAAGTAGTATGTAATTTGACGATCGAAAGTCAAAATAAGAACTCTTAGTGACCTGTTCCGTTCTGCAGGACAGAACAGAACAAAAAATGTTGTCCTGTGCCTATCTCTGATATATATGAATATCATACATCGAATATTATTTTTACTGCATGTATTATTTTTATCTTAGACTTTGAATTGAATATTAAAACAACGAAACATTATCACCAAAACATGTTGTTATTGCTTAAATGCTTCTTCTATTATTTAATTTTTGTTTCTCAGAATATTATTATTATTATTCTTTATCATACAGTAATAATACTAACGATAGAAAACCAACAGAACAAAAATCAAAATGTACTTTGCTCTATATTCGTACTATTATCATATAAGTAATTTTATTTTTCGGTGAAAAAGCATAAGATATTCGTCGAATGACACATTCTTATCTATTGACAATCTATAACCACTATACATATATGACGTAGATTGAGATATTTTAAAAAAATGATTACAATTGAGTCAATTATAATGTATGTGAAGAAGCAAATAATCATGATTTTTCATGAAACACTTTTCATTCCTAAATTGATTATTTTCACAACTATTTTACAAATAAAATATTCAGAATAATATTTTATTTGAGTATTATATTTTGGATTTCATGTTATCTGAATATTATTATGCAAAGTTTATAGAGAGTCTGTATGAATTATTAGTTGCAGTTGTCCTTTGTATTGTTAATCGCTCCTGTTACTTCCTCAATTTTAATCTTTTTCTTTTTCTTTTTCTTTTTCTTTTTCTTTGTCTAGTCAAATAAAGCCATCTGCTTTTTCTTTCTTGTTCTTGTCGCATTCTTAATTTCAGCTTGTGCATCATGGAGAATAAGAAAAAAACAGATTTAAAGACCACATGTATTTTACTGTGTCATTATGTAAAACAAGACAAGTGAGAAAGCTATTTCATGCGTCACACTTAAAGCACAAAGTAATAAAAGAACTGCCATTTATTTTGTTTCTGATCAACTCAAGTTTTAGATATAAATAGATACATATGTATACAAGTAAATAACGAATAGAAAAGATTATAGAGACATTTGTGCAGAATAAACTTGCTATTTATAATAAAAATAATAATAAAGTTTTTGTTTTCTACTTATTTAGAGAAAACCTAGTCACAGTTATGGCAACTGCAACAGCCTCATCTCATGCAACTCATTCATTCAAAAATACTATTGCTCTTATAACTGAAGCCAATAAAGTCTTTCAAGAAAAAGAAACAAAACAAAGAAAATTTGATTCGAACATTTTAATAATATGCTTATAGGGTATTGGCTTTGAAACAGCACGTCAGTTAGGTAAACAAGGTATTATTGTATTGATCGGTACTCGAGATAAAGTACATGGTGAAGAAGCAGTCAAAAAATTAAAACAAGAGAAAATTAATGCAAAATTTATACATATTGATGTTAGCAATCAAGATTTAATTAAAAAGGCAGTTGAACAAATTCAACAAGAATACGAAAAACTTGATATATTAATTAATAATGCAGCTATACATTTAGAAAGTGAACCACCATCCAAAACACCTATGAAAACACTTCGTAAAACATTTGAAACAAGTTTTTTTGGTGTTTTTGCTGTAACACAACCCTTTTATACCATTCTTACAAAAATGAACTGTTGGTGGTGGTCGAATTGTCAATGTATCAAGTCAATTAGCTTCATTTGGTAATAATTTAGCTGATCGTAATAAACTTGCTTATTCAACATCTAAAACAGCATTAAATATGATGACATATCAGTTTGCTAAAGAACTTGCAAATAGTAGATCTAATATTAAAATTAATAGTGTAGATTCAGGTAATGAAGAAAAAAAGAATCATAAATTTTATGTTTAAAATATTATTTAGATTCAACTCAAACCAATATGACTGGTAACAATGTCAAATTTGCTCCTGTTGAAGATGCTGCGGATCCTATTGCTTATTTTGCTACTCTTCCTTCTAATGGATCTTCTGGTCAGTTTTTCAATCCAAAGAAACAGCTACATCCATGGTAGAATCAATTAATATGTAATATTCATAGTTAGCTTTTGTTTTTTTCTTTTCTTTGTAAAATGATTTTTATTTAAATAGTTAAATAAATAAAATTGTCTTAAAATATTTATGTGTTCTATTCTTAATCCATACGAAAAATTTTGATAAAGAAATTGCTTTGATGTAAATTTACTCTAAGAATAAAATTTGTAATATTCTCATTTGCAATAGATCAAGAACAAAAATATTAACCAAATAAGAGCAAAAACAAATCGTAGAATATAAAGAAAAAAAGTCTACAGAAAGAAGTATTTTATTTTTTATTGTTAACATTAGCTGTTCTTTGAATAATTTTCTGATCTAGTTCTCTGTGGTTATTCATTCATTTTACTATGTGGAATATTTCTTAATCTAATGATAAACAGAAGAATCAATTTATTTCATTGGATATGACAAAATAAAAATTCACTGAAATTCTTATAAAAATGATTATACATTGTTATCATAGTCATTCTCAAATTTGCGCTTCGATATTGAATTGAAAAAAGAATTAGATTTTCTCATATTCTAAATAAAAATAGTCATTTTATTTCTTTTTCTTTACTTATTTATTTCAGATTTATTGTACTCTTGTTATACTCAAATTAAAGCTTTTCAAACTACTGTTTCTTATTCATTCGTTGATACTTTATTTAACATGGAAACTAAATGGGGTTACACTTTTAGTAAACATTATCCTGAGCCACATCATTCGAATCATGCGAGTTTCATCCATGAAAAAAGAAATTTCTCAGCTTGATAAATCTAATTATACTGATCAAGTTGATTTAACTGTTTTTTTTACAATCTCAAAATATATTAGAAAATTGTGTTTTTTTGTTATTATAATTATTTTTGGATTTTGCTGTTTATTGTTACGCTCGGAAGCAGTTACATAGGGAGAAAATTAAATGTCTATATTACAGCATACAGGTATCTTAAGCACATGTGTAGCAATATAGGCTATTTGAGTATGAACCTCCATATACGAATTCGCATTATGTGAGAGGTAAATAATAATGAAAAAAGAAAAACAGATAAAGAAAATATGAAGCAGAGAGACCAGATGAGAAACGAAAGAAGACAAAATGAAGGGAAAAGACAAAGGAAGGAAGGAAAACAGAAAAAGATTCTTGATAAACAGAAAGAAATGAAGCAGCAGCAAACAGAAAGGCACATCCATCTCACACATGTGAATCTAGGTTACGAAATCAATCCATTTTAGTAATAAAGTCTCGTGTCTCTCTTTCACATTTTTAACTCGCCTCATTCGAAAAAAATGACCAAGATTATCCTCTTTATTATAATTATAGTTAGAAGCATATTGTCTTCTTTAGATCTCTAAACATAAAAGCCATTTAAATAGTGGATATTTTGATATTGATTATAAATTGAAATATAAATTTAATGAATATGCATGTCATCCTTAGATCAATTGATATTCATTATCATTTTGTTTTTGAAATCGATTCAATTAATGAAGAGATTTTTCTCAAGTTCAATATAATGTCGTATATTGAGTTGATTTTTCTAAAATTCAACAAATTTATAATTAAACATTTTGTAACATATTTGAAAAATAAAATAAACTTGAACTAATCCTTAGAAAACAATGTTATCTAATTAATAGCGAAAATATACTTAAATCTGACATTCAAGCATGGGCAACATTGATATATTCTGATCTACTTTATACGACTCATTTCAAATATAATATAAAAAGATAAGTTCAAAAGATTATCTAAATTTATTCGAATTCTTTTGAGAATTGTATAAGATAGAAAATATGAGTGAGATTGTTTATCTAAATGAAATAGAAGAAAAGCATTATTTCAAATCACCAATGCATATCAAATCGACGTGTTCATATTTGAGAAGATCCTATGATCGACTACAATCAATCTAATGAATGTCACATTTTAAAATATGAGCAGTAAAACAAAAATTATAAAATGAAACATGATTAAATAATGATTTTTTTCCGAATAATAAACAATATAATAATTTAATATCAATAGATAGTTTGGATTGTTTTCTACTCATTTTTTGTTTTGTAATTAATATATTTAAAAATCGAATCTTATTTACAATTTAGATGATAACTGAAGCTTCGCCATAGACATCAGTTACAGTAGAAAAAAAACATGCAAAAGAACTGTATTGTTTAAATCATAATTTGTATAGATAATTCTAAAATTATTGATAAACTTTCATATTCTTATTTTCTTTTTTTTTAAGTTTGTTTTATTATTTTCAATAATGCTATGTTATCTTTATCAGATTTTACACCAAATATACGAAAAAGGTCAATTAAATATAAAGATAAGACAAGTCAAATATTTTCTTCCTTTTTTTTTTCTTTTAAACTTCGTACTCGGCGAAAGATGGATACGAGACAAATAAGAATATTAATCATAATATACAATTTTTTTCTAATGCCTTACATTGTCAAAATACTTTAGATTATCATGAAACTTGACATCATACAGTGACAAAGTAGGTTTTTCGGCGACTCAAGGAAGTAAATAGAGACAAAAACAATGATAACACACCAATAAAAACATTACAATCACAATGTTCTATTTATATATTTCGTTTGAAATACGAAAAACAAAGCATTCAAACTATTCTTTAAATCAAATCAAAGACAAAAAATATACTTAAATACTATGAAATATTCAAATAGTACAAAAAATCAAGATTTTTTTCATCTTGTTGCTGATCAATCACCGCAATCTTTTCTCAATACAAAATCTCATCAATGGCAATTACAATTAAATACAAAACAGTTTGCAATACGTATGCATAATGAAGATCCTCTTGCTCATATGCGGCGTAATTTTTTCTATCCGAAAATGGCTACATTACCTAATGGTTTGTATAGATCAAATTTGCTATTCAATATTGTTTTAATTGCTAATGATAATGTATTTTTTAGTTGATAAAAACCGAATTAAATCAAATGATGAATGTATATATCTTTGTGGTCAATCACTTGGATTAATGCCTGTACGAACTGTAGAATATATGTCTGCATTTATGAATGATTGGGCTTCACTGTACGTTGTTCACATAATTATATTATGAAAAAAAGTAAATTATGTTAATAATTTTTTTAGTGGTGTCTATGGTCATTTTATGGGTTCAAATCCATGGGCAAAATGTGATAGTCCATGTATACCTGTCATGAGCTTATTAGTTGGTGCTCAAATTAAAGAAGTTGCTGTTATGAACCAATTGTCATCAAATCTTCATTTTATGATGGTATGTATCATTGAATATTTATCATAATGAATATGATTTAGTCAGTAGAAAATTTTTACAAATTACATAAATGTCAAGCTTGTTAGTGAGAAAAGAAAGATTTGAAGAATATCTGTATTCGAGAATAAATTATTATTCTATAAAAGTATAATAAAATAATTCTATTGATCAAAAAAGATTTTATTCATCAACTTGATTATTCTTCTTTTTTGTTTATAGACAGCATTTTATCAACCTAAAGATGATCGTTACAAGATTTTATATGAAGAACATGCATTTCCAAGTGATCAATATGCAATCAACTCACAAATCAAAATGCGTGGTTATGATCCAAAAGATGCTAAAATTATCTTAAAAGCACGAAAAGTATGATTAATATAATTTAATATTAATTCTTATAATATTTTTTCGTTACACTTCATTAGGGTGAAAATTGTTTAAGAATTGAAGATATTCTTGATATACTTCGTCGTGAAGGTCATTCAATTGCTCTTGTTATGTTTGGTGGTGTACATTATTATACTGGTCAATTATTTGATATTGAAACTATCACACGTATTGCTCATGAACAGGTATACATATTAATGTCTATGAAGAATTTTGTATTTATTTATAAGAATATTTAGGGTTGCTGTGTTGGTTGGGATCTAGCACATGCTGTCGGAAATGTACCATTGCACTTACATGATTGGCAAGTAGATTTTGCTGTTTGGTGCACATACAAAGTAAATCATTGACATTAAACAAATTCAATTTTATTTATTTATTTATTAATATTTGTTTTATAAAATAGTATTTGAATAGTGGTGCAGGATGTATTGGTGGTATTTTTGTACATATAAATCATTTCAAAAATGATCATTTGACGACACTTGATGGTTGGTGGGGAAATCGAGAGTCAACACGATTTTCTATGCTTGATAGTATGAGAAATTAATCTATTTTCAATTTAATAATATTTTAATCTTTAAAGATATTGATCGAGATAATGGTGCTAATGGCTTTCGTGTTAGTAACCCATCGATTCATCAATGTGCTACTCTTGCTGCAAGTTTAGAGGTCTGATAAATAAATCATAATAATCTTCATGAGTTTGTATTTTATTTTATTAATGTAGAATTTCGAAGAAGTTGGTATAGATCAACTTCGTGCTAAGTCAGTTATTCTTACACAATATCTTCAATATCTACTCAAAGTAGAATTGCAAGGTAAATAAAAAATTTACATCGAGAAAACAATAAAATTTATTTTGTTCTTTACTTTGAAATATTTTTAAGATACAGGAATATGTCAATTTACTCTATTAACTCCATCTAATGCTCAAGAACGTGGCGCTCAATTGTCACTTCGACCACATAATGTCACTGCACAACAAATTCATGATGAATTAGAAAAAGTTGGAGTAGTGGTAAGTACGAGAAAAAATAGAATTACTTGATTAAATATAACAAATAATCATTTTCTTTTTTTTTAGATCGATATTCGCGATGATATTATTCGAGTAGCACCGACTCCATTGTACAATAGTTTTCTTGATGTATTTCATTTTGTTTCATTATTCAAAGAAGTAGTAATCCAATTAACAGCTATGTCTGATAAATAAACTATAAACTAAAAGTAGTCTTTTTTTCTGTAAATAATTTTATTTCCACTTGAAAAGTGGCTCTTTTAACAATCAATAATTTCTAATTGTTTTTGTTTTTTGTTTTTCTATTTATCAACTTTTTGTTGTGGAAAAATAAATAAAACAAGGATCAATATATCTTTTTTGTTGGACTGTGTATCACATGACAAAAAAGATCAAATTCATGAATCTTGATACTAATACTTATATTTCGAAAAAAAAACACTTTATACTTATAATTAAACAAATTTTCATGAGAACATCAAATATTGGTGTTTGTCTTATTTTTGTTTTTCATTTTAACTATAGAGTTAAGAAGAGAATTCAATGTTTTCAATAAACTCAATTGTTTTCGATTTGTAACCTAGTAAAAATAAGTTGTAGAATGTATCTTTGTGGAAAAATAACAGTTTTTCGTAATAGACATGATCGATAGGTTGTAACTGAAAGAATTAATCATTTTATGATTCAGTTCGGTATATTTGTATATTCGATAGAAAGGTAAGTTTAATTCAATAAGATAAATTACGTTTTTACGTATTTAGGCATATCTTTATAATCGTTTGAATGATGAGTTCATTTTGAAAAATTAATTATTGTTATTTGTAGTTAGGATCGTTTAAAGAACAAACGTTAAGGATGACCTAATTATAGAAAGATTGTCCTGATTTTTAAGTTTATCTGCACGTTAAATCTGAAAGGTAAAATAATTTAACAAGGTTTTCGTTAGTTTTGAAAAGCAAAGTGATGGAGCTTTTTTATGGATATAGAAGAGAATATCTAGGCTTATTCTACTTGCGACAAGTCTGAGTAAATAAAAATATACATGAGTTGCTATAGATTCATTTAGAACTATCGTGTAGGTCAACGTTGTTAGCAAGGTATTAAATTGAATTATTTGACATAGTGAGAGTATCGAAATGGAAGCCTTTAATCACGTCAGCAGAACTGAATTTAGTGTGTGGCAATGATTGTTGCTCGCACAATAGGACCATCTTTTTAAATAGGAAGAAAAGGTTTGAAAAAAATACTATATTATACTAAATCGAAAAAGGTTTAGAGAACGGTACCCAAATCCAGAATTCTATGACGTTGTGTAAGTTCTCTTTTTTTCAGAGTGAGTGTCTATTGTGGATATTTTCTTAAGGCACACTTATACTTTTTGCACGAATAAAATATAGTTAAAAGAAAAAAATTTATGATTCTATGATGACGAATTCCATCAGTCACCAGTTCTCATGTTTGTGATCAAAGATGTTCATCGAGCGTATCGCACATGTACATATACATATCGATTATTTTTTTCTCTTGGTGAAGCGTTTTTGGACTTATCTTTTCTTTATTTTGTGGTGGTATGTATTAGCTCATTCTTTGAATAAATAAGAAATGAGTGAGTCGTTCCGTCACACTTGGAACATTGGTATATTTGTTTTTTATGAATATGGATATGTCTAAGATTTGAAAATTTATCTAAAGATCTATATACTACGATAGAACTGTAGCTAAAATGAACTAATTTATTTTTTAAATTGTTTTCGATATTTTGTTCCACAATATTTTTTTGAAGTTTTTAATATTTTTGTCGAAACATCTGACAAGCGAAATTGTTTTTATAAAAACAAAATAAAATCTTTGTAATGCATTTCGACAGCGCTTGTGCACAGATACCTTAATGGTAATTCATATACACTAGTTACTTCAATGATTTAGAACGATTTCAATTCTAGTTAACTTATATTAGGCTTCCCATAGCGAAGATATAATTGAAATATAGTAAAATCTTCAAATCCTGACTTTTATACTTTTAAAATTGTCATTTTACATTGTCTTTCATTTCTTATTGCTGAACACTTTTCAAATGGTGTCATTTTCAACTTAGCTATTGTCGTACTTTATTTAATAAAGTTCTAAATAGATCAATCTTATTAGATATATATAATAAAACAAGTTATAAGTGAATGAAGCAAAGCATTGACTTCAATTAACAGAACATTGACAAAACTTTATTTTTTTTCATTTCTCTTTTCTTCATACAGCCATGTGATGCAATCGAAATCATGCATATCATGCATACATAAAATTTCGTCTCGAATAGTCTTTGCATTTCCGCTTTGATGTGCAAAGTCACCAATGGCACGTGCAAAATGAACAACTTTTGATGATAAAGGTATTCTTTCTTGTTCGTACTCGTGAAATACAGCTTCGATGTTTGATGGACCGTGCTTCTTGTAAGCATCAGCGAGTGCACATGCATCTTCAATTGCTTGAGCAGCACCTTGTGCAGCATATTGAAGCATCGGATGAGCCGCATCACCAACCAATACAAGGCGTCCACGACTCCATTTGGATAATGGATTACGACTAAATAGAAGAAAGGGCTATCTTCAAAAGCAGAAAAAAAATGAAAGACTACTCACTCATAAACAGGCCATCGAAAGTTCGTCTGTAATAATGATAAGATTTTTTTCACTTGGTCGCACCCAGTACTAAATCGCTCATTTAGTTCTTCTTTAGTGCCCCATTGGTCTGTGTGATCTGGCATTAACTTTGATTTGAAGACAGCAGCCTGATTGAACAGTTGACCTCGTCGAACTGGGTATTGAACTATATGCATATCGGGTCCAATCCAGAATTGAACATTTTCGAGACCAGATTCTTTCGAAACTTGATCGATTCCAACTGTGCCTCGGTAGGTTACATACCCCACGCTGAGTGGATCCCCATCATCACAGACGTACTTGCGTAAAGCCGACCATAGACCATCAGCAGCAACTACCATATCGCAATCATAGCGCATACCAGTGGTACATTCAAGCATTATCGACTTAGGTCTCTCGTCGACGGTAACTACAGTACGATTTGTTTCCAATGTTACCAAGGGATTCTTTATACATGCTTCATAGAGAGCATTCAGAAGATCGGCTCGATGAACAACAATATATGGGTAGCCAAATCTTTCAACGAATTTTGGACCTAAATCAAGACAAGTAAGACGTTCTCCGGATAATGCATCCATCCAAACGATTTGTTTTGGAAAGACAGCATTTGCTTGTACCTGCTGTAAAACGCCTAATCGAGCCAACAGACGACTGCAGTTTGGCGCTAGCTGCATACCTGCACCGACTTCTCGAAAATTATTGTTCTTCTCTACTAATCTGACTCTTATACCAGCTTGTGCAAAGCTGAGAGCTGTTGCCAATCCACCGATGCCTCCACCTACAATTAACACTGCTTCTCTACGAGTATGCACCAAAGGATATAGCATTCTAGCATCATTGAGAGACTCTGTTCCTTTGAACACATTTGCATTGCGAAAATTTCGAAAGAATATTTCATGGTCCCGACGAGCGATCTCGGCATAGATCATGGAGAAACAACGAATGTCTTTCATTAAATATTTTTGCTTTGCAAAAGAAGATAATGTTGTTCGAATGATTTCTCTATTGTCGTTCGACTTCTTGCATGCCATTATAAAATTTTTCGTGTTCTTCGTTGGAAATATAGGTAATGGGGGTTCACAATGTATTTGAGCTACCGTAATGGCCAATTCTTCAACCAAAGTCATAAAACTTGCTACATTATCGATTGATCCCCATTCGATTTCATATACCTTCTTCACACGTTGTGCCAAGCCTATCATTGAATTTCGACGTTGTATCCGGAATAGTTTACTTTGACTTGACTCAATGCTTGCAATTGAGTTCCGTCTTGCTCGATAGTACTCTAATGGTGACATTACACTATCGATATATTGTCGTACGAAAGCATCCACTATTTCTATAGCTTCAATGTCACTAAATCCTTTGCTATGGGCGATCAAAGACAAATTAGTTCCTAAGCGTTTGAGATCCCAAGTAATTGAACCTATTAATTTTTGATAAGAGCATATTTGAAGCACGCGTTCCCTGCTTGATTCATCATCGTAATATTGAAAGTGACCTGCATGTAGGTCACCATGAATATATGTAGATTGGCTTAATTGCAGTTGATCGTTCTCGTATTGGATATCATCATAAAAGAGAGCAGTATTGTGTTGATAGAATATTAGAGGATTAACAGCAATGCGACGGAAGTAGGCATGCCAGGCTTTTACTTCATGTCGTCTTCGATCAGTCTGGCTCTTTGCAATTGTTGTTACCAGCTGTTTAAAACGATGATCTTCATTACACAATAGAATCTCATGTATAGATGAGATACGCTGCTTTTGTGACTCATTCAAATGATTTTCTTGTAAAACAGATGTTTGTGTCATTGTTTGCATCGGAATCTGACAATATCAGTTGCTCTTTGTACGACTACATTTATATATCTATCTTTATCATTGCCGAAACCATATTCACCATACTTCCCTTTTTTCTTGTGCTTTCTACTTTTTCAAAGATATTACAACGCATACTATCGCCGAAATTGAATGCATAGCTTTCGACGACCACTTCAGTTATCATATGTCATGCAATTCAAATCTTATCATGTGAAAATGCGTCATTTAACGAGTGTAATCTTCATTTTGTGATCATTATCGACAAAACAAAAATATTTAACTTTGTTTTTTGCCAAAGAACAAGGAGAAAGATTAGAACATTAAAAAAAACGTCGATTTCATCCTACGTAAAAATTAGAATGTAAAAAAATGCTATACTCTTCCTCTGCAATTTCAGCGTTATCGTTGTTATAAGAAAATTTCATGAAGAAAATAAGTTGTTTAATACTTCTTTAAGTTCTTTTCTGGATTATGTAAATTTTTTTTTCAAATGAACAAAACCTTTTAATCTAAAAGAGAGCAATTCACGAGAATGAACACGAAAGCACTGGGTATAGATTTTTCTTTAGAAATTAATCATTTAAATTAATGAATACTAGTCCACTTTCCTTGAAAATAAAGGTGTATGATGTGGAGTTGTGGATAGAGTGTGGAAATATGAATGTCGATGGTGAATGATGTGGATAAGTAAGACGGGTGGGATATCATATGCACCTATTTACTTATCCATATTAACAACCAAATGTCTGACTTGGATCAGAAAGAATTAGATCAATGGTCTGAATATTTGGCAGAAATAAAAGTTCTTTTTAAGGCTTTTCCCCTCAAAAATCGATCTCAGTCCAAATATATTCAAATCGCATGAAATTTTCAGAGTATGTTGGAACCGTAGTAGAAAAGCTTTGAGAAACTTTTCAGTTCTATACTATGGATGCACCAGTCCCAGTCCTGACTGGTGAACTGGGTCCCAGTCGGACTGGGTATCCAGTCCCACTGACACCCAGTCACGACTGGATACTCAGCCATTTGATCTTTAGTCTATTAGTCGAGTAGTACTTTTTTCTTTTCTAATGTATTGTCATACAGTGATTCTTAGGCTATTGAAGTACTAGTATAAACTATAACATTGAATCCATTGGCTAATCATATATTTCTATGTATCAGTTGTTACAAATTAGAATACTATAAATAAATTTCATGTCTTCATTAAACTTTTGCGAGATATCTATTCAGGCATAGTTTTCATTTATTATCATCTGTTGAGCTATTTTCTTTGCTATAGATAATTCTTCTAGATAATTGATTTCTATAACGGCTTGTTTTAGAAAAATGTTTCCTGTAAGATCGATATTAAAGTGAAAAATAGAAAGAGCCTGATTCATTTTAATAAACATCAAAACAAATACGATTGACTCATGTATTAAATGAAAGCTTGAAATCAATCAAAATAGTACTAAATCAGAAATTTTAGTCATGAACGATTCGGTTTCGTATTTTGAATTTCAAATTGTATTTTTATTTGGCTGATAG